CTGCTGGCTTTACAGCATCTGAGACCAGGGATACTCTCCATATTCATTTATCTGTTTGTTTATTTAAAACATTATTAAACCATCCTTCCTCTGACAGATACCCATGTGGTGTGCAAATATCACGTATATAGTAAAAAGGAAATTAAAATGGGGGGACCCACAATCCAAAGGAGGTCATTGAAGTAAAGCAGCAAAAATAGACACAGCAGAAACCAGTCAATTAAAATGCCTTTGTGAGATAAATTATGGACTACCACATTAATGAAAAAGTGAACAAATATAAACAAAGCAATACAAAACACAAGATGGATGCATTTTGGGAAGTTTGGTTCCTTTTAATCCAACAATTTAACCAACAGAGAGAAGAAACAGGGGTCCCAGAGGTATCTGTCAATATAAGGAGGCCTTTTATGAACAATGAGTTATCGAACAGAATGTGAATGCAACCCAATGAATTAGAAAGTGAACAAAAAGTGAAAGAAGACAATGTGGGGCTGCAAAAGTGGGCTCTTGCTGTTTGCTTCAAAAATGCAAACAATGGAAATAAAAATGCCTAGATGTGTGAGTTATTTGCTATTTTCCTGGCATCCTGTTGGTCTTTTGTGTGCTTCTAAGTTCCCTTATCTATGCAAAAGGTTGTTTTCTCTCTCTCTCTCTCTCATTCTCTCTCTCTTTGGTAGCCATTTTGTAACATCCATGTTCAGTGAATAGCTGCATAAGCAGAGTTCTGTGAGTATAAATATTTCACATGTAGTTGTGCATTCTTGGATGGGATATAAGTATTCATCAGTGCCCTCAATGCACTATGTGATTTCCTGGGGTCACATAAACAGCTTGTGTGTTATTATTCCTCATTGCACAAGAGGAGAAGCTGCATCCAGCACATGGGCAGAGACATCCTTGGTTGCACAGGGGAAAACACCAAAGGATATCAACCTGTATCTGCACAAACAGGCATGGCCACAACAAGGCTGGTGTGAAACTGAACAAAACAGGGGAAGAGAAGAATGCATTGTGTAAGAGAAGTAGAATTTGGATATGTGTTGACTTCACTTTGGAGATGCAGAATGGCTCTGCTGCAGAGAGTTTCTCCATCTTTTCCAGTCCTCAGGATGAGAAATCCCAGGATGAGAGTGCTGAGTTAAAAATATGTATGAATATACACATTCTACTTTGCTAGACATAGTGGGCTGTTGTTGTTTTTTTAAAAAAAGGTATGACAACAGTAGTTAACACTTAATGTGTCATGCATAATGACATTACCCTATATATACACCTCCAGGGGACTGGTGGTATTTGTGGTGGTAATGGTTGTGTGTATTCAAGTTGTCTCCAGCTTATGATGAATCAGGGTTTTCCTGGCAAGATTTTTTCAGAAGAGAAGGGACTGAGGGGATGTGACTTGCCCAAGGTCACCCTGTAGGTTTCCATGGCTGAGTGGGGATTTGAACTCTGATCTCCAGAGTCCTAGTCCAATGTTCAAGCCACTACACTTTTCTGGCTCACACTTTGGAGCCAATCCATGGTTTTGTCCCTGAAATCTCAAGGCCTAGGTCACCCAACTGACATCCCTGGTGATGCATGATCTGGTATGTTCACCCCCATGACCTCTGCAAGGGATTCTTGGATGTATGCTTCTCATTTCAGATATAAGTATGCAAAGGAATCCTGTAGGACCTTTGAAACTAACTATGCAAATGAAATTGCAGCATAAGCTTTTGTAGACATGGGCTACTTCCTCACGTGCATGGACTCCATGCACCTGAGGAAGTAGACCAAGTCTACAGAAGCTTACGCTACAACTTCTTTGCCTCAGTTAGTCTCAAAGGTGCTACAAGATCCCTTTGCATACAAATATTCCAGATTAACATACCTATGTTTCTGAATTGAGATACAAAAATATCTTTATTTTTATCTCAGCTTCTTCTGTGTAGCAGCTAAGTTCATCTGCGTTGTGTTACCTGCTCCAAAATATTTTTCCATTGGCAACCAACTCTTCTATGGCTCCATGGCTAAGCCTCTGGGCCACCAATTTCAAAAA